AACGAATGGCTTTATCATAAGTTGCAGAAGTACCGTGTGAATTTTAATAAATACAATTTTTGAAAGTATAGTTGAATCGACTATTTATGTAAATATAATTAAAGGACATTTTATCAAGCAGAAGAGTTGAAGCATTTTTTTACTGTATAATACAGAAAATTAAAAATATTTTTCTACCATATAACTTACAGAGACTCGCATAACAAAAAGTAGCAACAACAACGTATGTGTGCACTCTTCACTTACCGGTGAACTAAAACAATAGACGACATAAAGCTCGCAGCTCACGTTAAAATTTTCACTCGTGGAATTTCACTGCAGCTGATAGTATAAATTATGGGACTGCTGTTCATAGGCCGATAATTTTCCAGCCCTCAAATTTTCCTCGAAGAGCACAATAAATTTCACGCATCTAAAGTCTCTTGACAATATTTCCTCGCTCTGCAACTGCCTTTTTAATTTCTCACTTTCCTTATCTATATATGCACATGGAAAACGTTAAATTTTACAGCCACGTCTGAATTACAATGAAAAAATATCAAAGCACTCTTTTTCCATTGGACGATGAATCCATTGGAAATTTGGGATGATGATAATAATGACTTAAAAATTTGTTCGTGACTTTTGCAGTATTTTTCAATGACTTTAAGAGTGCATAGACCCTCGGTGAAAACTCACCTAAATTTAGTTACTACATCAGTAAATATTCACGAATATAACTGTTAAAATTAATTATTTTTGAATCAGTACAATGGTGAATTTTAACTAATATTATTTTTTTAAAGCACTGACTAAAATACAGCAAAATAAATAAGATTCTAAATTTAATATGTCACCAATCACAACATTGCAGATTAACGACTCCTCCACAACTTTAAAGACCGGTGGAATAATAAAATTATGTTACATAAGTATTAAATTTATTTCTGCGGTACTGTGAAGATCAATGTACATACCTACTATGAATTTAATTTCATATCTTTAAATCAAGTCTTATATAAAAAAAACTCCTGACATAGTAGTACATCGACATGATCAAAAATTTAGCTTAATTTTTTACAAAAAAAATGAAAGAAAATCTACTATGGATAATGGATTAAAAATTCATATAACATAATCGAATTTGTCTTTTACTTTTCAAAGGTTTCCTTGAAAAATATGTTTTTTTTTAAGTGTAAAAATATCACTTTACGAGAGTAATAGTTTTCAATTAAACAAAGAAATCAATAATTTAAAACAATTTGTGTAAAAACTATAAACGTAGCTCAATTTTATTCATTTCGTCAAAAGGAAAACACATAGTATAATTTCCAATCGAACAATCGATCACTGCCTACCATTTACAAAAAAAGTCGATTAGAACATAATGAATTTGATACCTGCAAATGATCAATAATTTACTGACAAATAGCAACGCTTTTTTACACTTACATCAAATGTTAATGATTTTTCTATAGTGTTGTAACAGAAATATGAATGAGTACATGGGCAGATGTTTCCACTACAGATGTGATACACAGGTTCTCGTCCGTTTAAACAAAAATCGGTTTTTTTTTTTCTAATACAATCATATAATACAAACGCATAAAGAATACGCTACACATAATGTGCGTACATAATATAACAATGTGAACGTCGGTACAAAAACTTTCAAAAAATAAACATAGAACAACAAAATATAATTGATTTTAATGTAAAATCATTTTTAAATAGGTGTCTTTTTTTCACGTAACATTGCACACTTTAATAATTGCCATTATTCAAGTTTGTTATTTATTCATACTATTCTTTTCTCTGCTTTCTTTCACATTAGGAGAAAAAGTTTCAAGTTTCATTATGCTAAAACAGTATAATAATTATGTACAATTTTTTTGATGTTTAAGAAAACGCGTTATGCTTTACAAGTCACATTTTATTCCGACTTTTCTAATTTCCTAGTACATGTGATTTCATTCTTGAAATATTAATATTAATATTACTTCGCATTATGCCCTTTTTAAATTCAATTTACCAATCATCTCTATTAATCATAATAGATCGTTCTATTTTTTTTATCTTAGCTACACTTGGGATATGTACAGGTTTTTCCCTACTTCATCAAAATTATTTGAAAAAATTAAAGAGCTTGAACAATAAATTAAATGGATTATAAGAGATCAGTATGAAACAATTAGAATAATTGTTATCATCATTATCGTTACAATTGTTATTAGGAGTCACTGAGAGTGAATTACATTCAAAGGCTATGGTGAAACGATTTTTTGATGCTGGATCTCACTTAGTACTTATTGTTACAAATTTATAACTATACACATTGTTAGTTTTGTATCTCCTGTTATTAGTTAACTGTTTTTTTCTTTCTATGGATACCATAGCTTAATCAACTTTACAGTGTTGACGTATTTTACAATGAATTGAAACACGATTTAGACGCGTAAAAAAATAATTTATAAAAATTTAAATGTATTATAAAAATGTTTCTTTGTAAAGCTTAGATGATATCATTATTCCAAACCGAACTTAACAATAATTTTGAAGAAATCATAAAAAAAAATTCAGATGTATGCCTGACATTAACTACTATGACATAACGTGAAAAAAATCATTCAACCATGCCTTTAAAAAAAGGAAGGAAAGCAGACCTATAATAATCAACGCAATTGAATTTTTGGCAAAAGTCGGATTGCTAGCAAGAAACAGTAAGTACAACCAGCTATGATATGTACATTACATATTCCGCTTATTCATTGACATCGTCACTTTTGACTTAAATTTTACTTTTTATAACTAAATATTCTATAATTAGCATGTTGACTCCAGAAAGTAGTGCTTTTGTAATAGACATTATACAATGCATGGCTACGAAATTGATTTTTTTATCATGTAAGTCGATGCGTTAATTTTATTCTCATCTGACTTTCAAAATTATTGCTTAGCTCAACGAAAACTAATTTAACATCATACGTATGAACAGAATCAACCCCTTTTTTTTCGTTTTTTCTCACCACATTAAATCGGTTAGCTAATAAAAACTAAAAATGTTTTTATTTATCTAAGTTTTGGTGAAATTAATAGAATGTCTCTTAAAAATAATATTTTTTTCGCTACCTTTTATAAAAAGGATTTTTCATTCTTTTACATAATTTTTTTTCTTTTTTTTTTTGTTAATGTAATTATAATTTTAGCATATACATAGATTTCCTTGTAAGTTGATGAATACACAGTATATACTACCTTGTTAAATCCGAGTTTGTTTTTTTTTCTTCATTTATTTCATTAGAAGGTAATTAAATATAATGAAATGTACATGTGTGTTACAGCGTTAAGAAGGAATCATATACTCAAAAAATAAACTAAAAAGTTACATGATAAGCACAAGCAGACAAAAAAGTCATTACTAGAGTTTGAACGTGAGACAACGTAAATAGATAATTTAATAATAAAAATTAGTATTAATAGATTTTCTCAACACTAAACATTACAAACTCTACGAATAAACTTTGACTCCATCAAGTACATGGGAATCACTAGGCAATATAGAGAAAAACTAGACTGAGTTTATACATTTTTCTATAAGTAAGTGGATATACTGTCGCTTGTAATATCACGAAAACTTTGAAAAATCTTTGATATACAATATGTGTGTGCGTCCGCACGCGATTCCAAGCTTAACACTGAGCACTCCTGTATCTTTATTTGCGAGAAATATATTATTGTCTCGTCGAATTTACTTCACTGCTATTTCTCTAACTCAACTATGTGATGACGTACACAGTAGATTTTTTTAACTTATTTTCTCTCGCTCTATAACTTATTTGCTTTTGTATTAACTTTTTTTTCATTCTTTCAACTATGCTTTTTGTTTGTAAAGTGTTTCTGCTTTACGTTTGATGAGCACAACTTTGACTGGCATGTTTCGATGTTATCACAAAATAAGTCACGCGTTGCTCGTGCTCTTGCATAGGGTGCTTTTCGTTGCATCCTGAAAATTACTTGAATTTCGCACTGACTCTTTTTTTTATCACTTAGCATTACATTCATACCACGGCTATGAAGAGTAACTTAAAAAAAGATTCGACTTTTTATTTCATATAAAAATATTTTCACTCTTTCCACGATTTTTTGATTATTGTAAGTTTTCTGTTCAAAACTTACGAGTCAAAGTGGCACTCACGTGTTGATAACTATGATATCGAATATGCTTCTTAATTTTGTATTACCAGACTTAAAAAAGAAAAATAATCTAAGTATCACTAACGATTAAAACTTCGTCTGTCCTGAAATGTAACTTTTCTTACTGACCACCTTTTCAATAATATTGCCGATAAGCGTCATTTAGCTCGAAATTTAATTATAATCAAGTGCGTACTATTATTTATGAATGATTATCTTTTACCAAAATTCATAGTTACAATGATTAAAGCCTCATTGTCCTTTCACTTCTGTAAAAATTTACTATATTTATTAATTTCTATGGATCTTGCCACTGTTTTATTCCAAAAGACAAAGATTTATTTTTGTAAACAAGTTTCTTTGTTCATAAGGATTAATATGAAAGTCGAATGTTAACGAACTTTAACTTTGCTTGGTAAGAATTTTTGTCGAGATCATAACATGTCGTTACTCAACACAGATACTCAAAAAATATTGGGTGTGTATTACTATGAACAAAATCGTAATATTCTTTATTAAAATTTCCAATTGTGTTTAGTTTAATTTTTTTTTATTTTTTTTTTTTTAATTATAGCACCTGATAGCATTAATCCTACAACATTTCCTTTACCCTTATCAATAAAGTTTAAAGAGAAATCTGTAAGTACTCACTAGACATTACATTTAGTAAATAATGATAGACATATGTTTAATGATTGTTTATAGTTTTATAAAAATTACTTAGTGCTTATGTAGTACATTTGAATTAACTCATTGATTAACAATATTTTTTTGATTATTTAACTTTGAAATAAATTTTATTAAAAATAAATATTTATGTGCTTAAAAATCAACTAACAAAACTCAAAAAAAATGGTTGTATGCAAGAAAAAGTATAAAACTTCGTGTTAATTTTTCAATACTTACAAGTTCCCAATATTTTGTGAGTTCACGTGATCAGTTTTCGTTTAAAAATTAATACAGTAGTCAATTTAGATATACATTACAACCATGGTATATCTACTATGACACTTTAAAAAGTATGCATTTTTTATTATTTATTTTTTTATTTTATATTTTTTTTTCATTGCTTCGCTTTCTCATCTTTTTTTTCCTTTTCTTTTTTATCAGTATCATCTCATCATTTCAAAACATAATGATGTCTTCAACATTTATTTTTTCTTTTAAAAACGGACAGTTCCGAACGCACCTGCCATCGGAGCGTCCACCTAATCCGTCACCTTTCTTACAGCCCACGCAGTTTTCCTTGTTTTTGTGTTTTTCAATATTTTTGTTTCCTTCATATCCTTAAAACAAAATATATACAGCGTGCTGTCGATGTACACTATTCTCTATTCATTGTATCAATTCATGAATTAAAATTTTTTTTTGCGCTTCCCAAACGACAGGGAGGGCCACCATCTTCCCAGGGATCATCTGGCCTTACTCAAACAGCGGATGCTTCTTGGTACACCTAATAATCCAAACCCTTATTACAGAGTATTTCTTTCTTTTTTTTTTTTTTTTCTTTTTCTTTTTGACATGCAAAATCTGCAATCATTGTGTCCTTCAGCTGATGCGCTCCAACCGATTTTACCAGGGTCACGCGGCCGTTGTGTATAATGTGACGCTCGCAATGTGTTGGTTGGCCATAACTTCTACGATCGCGTCGCGAATCCCGTAGCAGAAGGTACAACCAAACGGATTTGTCGTATTGGTCGAGGAGGCACGGTTCAGCACCACTGGACGTGGACTGGCCTTCAGCTGTTCGCTTACGTGATCCCATTTCGTGTAGGCAGTTAACTAATTTTAAAAAAAAGTTATCAATAAATTTATTACGATAGTTCATGGATTTCATAGTTATTTGCAAATATATTCAACTAAATTTACGGACGTTAAGGTTTTTTTAATACCACCATAGCTATCCCATATTAACATTGATGTAATTATTAAATAATTGCTATATTTTTCTGTAATTGTAGGTCTTTTATTTATTTATTTATTTAGTTATTAATAACTAAAAACTATATTTTCTATTTCA